TTTATTCAAGTAAGTACTGACACTAATTCTCTTTTGGGACCAGTAGAATGGCTGTGAGGCAGTCTTCATTCCTTATCCCCTTTCTCTACCTGGAAATAAACAGATAGAAAAGGCTGCTCAATTATTCCTCTGTCACCAGGTATCTCTAATCCAATGACAGAGATGGAATGAGCATTTGAACCCTAATGGCACTACTCTGAAAGACAAATCATTTTCATTTGGATGATATATTTTTTAAATAAGTTATTTTAAATTTGTGGGTTTGTGTTTTCTGATAAATCTATAAAGTATTGAAAGACATATTGTAAGTAGAAAATATTACTTATCTCTTGTTCCTTATCCTAATTGTGAACACCTTTACAAAGTGATCATATTTGTCAGGAATTATTAGCATTCTAGAGCTGAAAGGGGCTCAGAGGATTGCGTCATCTACTTTCCTCAGTTTTAGATGAGAAGAATTACAACAAAAATAAAACAAAATACAGAAGCTAAATGACTTGGCCAAGGTCACCTAGCTCACTTGATAACCCAGTGTCTAGTATTTTGGCTTTCAACTCAACTTTGTCCTTGATTTGCTATTATCCCAGGATTATAATTTTAACATATGATAGGGAAAGAACTTAGTTATTTATTATTGTTCTTGGTGGCCCTGGGGTGTGAACTTTGGGTCTTATGTTTGCTAGGTAGACACTCTATCACTTGAGACACGCCTCCAGCCCTTTCTGTGCTCTAGTCATTTTTCAGGTAGGGTCTCATGTTGCTTACCACACCTGGCTTATTGATTGAAATGGATCTCTCTTTTTGCCTGCGCTGGCCTCTAACTACAATCCTCCCCATCTCTTCCTCCTGAGTAGCTAAAGTTAGCCTGCGTAGGAAAGGAATTTAGTAAAATGCTTTTCATATATTGCTGAATTTAATGACAACCCTATAAGGTAGGTGTTACCATACTCAATTTACATATGAGAAAATTGAGTCACTGATTAAATAACTTGCCAAAGTCACAAAGACATTAAACAGCAGATTCAAGATCTGAGCTGAAGTCACTCTGTGGAGCTCCAGTCTTGGAAATGACAGGATGCTCCTTGCCACCTGGGCAGATGTAGAAAGGACTGGTTTAGAAAACTGACATATTGTTGACTTGTTAATTCCCCTCTCCTGTTTGCAGGCTTCTATTGATGAAGATGCATAGGTTTTTCTGACCCTATGCAATACTTGGTTAGCCTATTTCCATGGATTACAACTGTCTGACAATAATAAGATTGTGTCTTTTTAAAAAATTGTATAATACAGGACTTTCCCTCTTTTATATTGACCATCTCACCCATTGATTAGCTTGAATCAAGGAATCTTACTACATTTTACATTAACCGATCAATGTAGATCAACCGGAAAGAGCACAAAAGCAAGGTGTGCTTGGCCAGCAGCTCTTTCCCCTCCTTAGGACAAACAGCAGTTATGAGCATAATTCCTGTTTGAATTATGGCCTACCAGAATTAATGAAGTTCCAATTTACTAGGAGATTTAAGGCTTTTATGACTACATAGTGCATGCTTATCAGAAATAACAGAAAAAAAATATTTTTAAAGGTATTATTAAAATAGAAACAGAATGAATTAGACTTCTCTAAGCCCTGATTATCTTTTACTTTTCTTCTTTTTTCAAAAAATCAGGGCTTGGGGGGTGAGGGGGGGTGGGAAGAAGGGCGCTGGCTCAAGTGGTAGAGAGCCTAACTACAATGGCAAGGCTGAATTCAAACCCCAGTAACAAAAAAAGAAAACAAAAAACCCAACTTGCTATGCATATGCTGGTGATATTAATTTTAATTAATCCTTGTAACTAAGTATTACAAGTATCTCTTGCTTTCTCATTGTTCCTCAGGAAATAAAGTAATAATATAGCTCTGATTTCATCATTTACAGACAGGAGTTCTTCAACTATGTGGAGTACACATCTTGATTTTAGTAATTTATTGAAAGGAAAAACTGTCCAGGGACAGCTTGAAGTTATTTAATTGTATGCTTAAGTGAAGATCTTATGCAGAGACATCTTTCTTTCTACCTTCACATTTAAGGTAGAGTCAATCAACTTTCCTGTCTATGTGAGCCAATCCAGTGAGCACAGCTAGATCTTTATAATCTGGGCATTCTAAGGTCTCTAGTGACTGCATCTTGAGTAGGTAGAGAGGTGATGAAGGTATGCCAGATCAAGCTGAATGCAAGTGACTCCTGGGCATTTAAAAATGTTTTCAAACCTAAATAATCCATCCAACCTACAAAAACCTGAATGTGACTGCTCAGTACCTTGAGAACCTTGGTTAACTGAGTGCTCTAATTAATTGATATTTATATTTTATTGATGCTAAAAAGTGTGCTTTATTTGTTCATTTATTGAGAGCCTACCAACTGGCAGAAAATGTGCTAGGTGTTTGAAATACATAAGGAAACAAAACAGATGAAAAAACTCATGTAAGGTACATTCCCACAAAGAGAGAAAAATAACTCAATAGATACACTCATGTAGTATGTCTAACGGTGATAACTACTATGGAAGGAGGGAATGGGATAGAGTTTAGGCAAAGGTGGGTTACAACTTTAAACAGGGTGATCAGGGCCACTCTGAGAAGGTGACATCTGAGCAAAGAACTGAGGAGGGGAGGGGTAAGCCACCTGAGCAGCCCTGGTGAAGAGCATAGAAGGCAGAGGGGACGGTACCAGAATGTGCACATGTGGAACCATATCTGGCCAAAGAGGTCAAAGTGAAAGGAGGAAAGGAGATGAGAGGAGTGGCAGTGGCTGGAATGTGACCTTATGAGTTAGTGAGTGAGTGAGTGAATGTGTGTCCCCACTGTGACTGGCATCATCCCTTGGCTTTGACCCTTGTCAAGACCTGATAGTGCCACTCGCCTGAACCACCATGATGGTGTTGCCATGAACCAAAAATAAAGGTCGTCTACCAGAGTGTAAAGATGCATTTTAAAAGCAAAGGAAGCACAAGCACTTTGTTTTTTAATTGCTGACCTGAGTTGCAAGTTCTTTGCCAGGTCATGTCTCTGTAGTTGTCGTTATATTAATGGTTAGTATACCAGAATCATCTTATTAGTGCAAGCCAGTCTCAAACAGCCCTGGATATCACCTCTCTCATTTCTGGCAGCTAGACCAGCTTCAGGGGATCCTCACAAATTAGCATGAGTTTTTCTTTTTTAAAGCTTAGAAGTAACTACATTAAGTTAAATTCTTTTAGTCATCAAAAAGCTGAGTTTAAACAGAACTGAATGGAGTGTGCCTGTCTGGAGAGAGAAAAGTTCCCTGTATATACTCGGATTCATTTGTCCTAGTACTTAAGAAACGGATTTTTCAGAAAGGCACTCTTACTTGCTAAACGACTGTCAACGTGGAAATACAAGGCATTAGTTATTTCAGCTAAAGAATGTCAAGAACTGAATAATCAAGCATTAGGTTACAAAGTTTAAAAGTTAATACAGCAGCACACAGTACTTATATTAGTGCTTTAAGTAGACAAATTAAATTGAAATGTGTCTCTTAAGCAGTCATTGAACAAGCAAGATGAGAAATAAATTGAGCTTCACATCGGCCTCTAACAACTGTGTCTGTCAACACACGGATCCTTTTCACTGTCAATTCAACACACATTTTGCAGACCTTGGGCCTGCAATTATTTCATTTCCTTTCTTGGAAATGTAATTTCCACTTACTTTTGGAGAATAAAAGACAGACAAAGGGAGGAAGGAGTTGCAGTATTTTCTGATTAAGATTATCTGTGTAAAATGGTAAAGGGAAAAAAAATCTATACACACACACACACACACTGAAGCATTTCTCTCAGAAAGTAACTTGTCTCAGGCAAATTGCTTTTGTGTCTGGATATTGGTTCAAATGCAGCCAGACTGTTGATGTCAAATTAGGTGTTAAACAAATTTATAGGAAAGATAAAGAATGAATCTAGATCGTCTTTCTGCTAGAACTGTGCACATGACTCCAGTCAAAAGAAAGGGAGCACATGACTGCAGGAGAAAATGTGCTTTGAAACACAATGAAATTAGATAAAACTGTAAATCAGCAAAGAAGGCCATTCATTCCAAAAGTGTGTGTGTGGGGGGGGAGAGTTAATAATACCAATGAGAAAAATGCAAGGGAGGAAGAAAATACCAGTTGGCAAAAATAGATCCAAATTGAATTTCTACTTCATTTGTCCAGGTTTCACCTTTTCAGCTAAGATAGCTAAAGCTACAAAAAAGGGGCTCTTTCTCTCCTGACAGAACAGGAAATCAGAGGTTTAATTAACTGTTATTACAATATTCGGCTGATCTGATTTGTCTCACCTCTTCCTTTTCTTTAAGTGACAAACTAGCTGACATCCTGGCAAGAGAACTAAAGCAAAAGTGTAGACTCATTTCAAAAAGAGCTTGCCATTGTTATAAAACAAATTGATCCTCTATTAGATCTGTCTGAAACACGTTCAATAGCAGGATTACCTCTGACAAAATGGCACTTGGAAGCCAGTCTGTATGGATAACTCTTTACATAGTCATTTTCGTCTCTGGATAGAGCAATAGGAAGGTACACCGTTTGCCCAGGACCAGGAAATAAGGTTATACAAAGGTCCCATCTAACATAGTCTGAAAGATCTAGTATCTTCTTCAGCTGCTCAGGAACCACCAAACGGAAGATCTAAGCTTTTAACTTTGAAAGATCTCATTAGGTGTCTTCTGAGGAAGAATAAGTGTCAACCAGATCAATTCTTTGTGTAGCCAGAGAACCTGATTACCAAACCAATTCAGGGGAGAGAATTCTCTTTAGACAGGGAATTTGCTTGGATCTGAAGGAAAGCTCTAGAAGCAGAGAAGCTGGCTCATCAAAGGAAGGAAGAAGAGTATTGGCTAGCCAAATCAAAATCTCTCTGAAGAGAACAAACCAAAGAAACACATATTAGTCATTACAGATTTTTCTACATACTACTTAAAAAAGAGCATCGTTACTTACTGAAATGTAACCTTGGAACTTGTGCATCCTTCCAATTTACGGGGCCCTTCACCTGGCTCAGGTGTTAGGGGGGACGGGCTGTTGAATTCTGCCTCCAGAGTTTTCTTGTTCAAGGCTGTTTTTGTTACACTGGATACAGAACCCAACACTGGCATGGATTTGGACTCTGAGGTGGCTAATATCCCGGTAGGACCTTAAAACCAAACACATACCTCAAGTTTAATAATTCTGTGTGATGCTTATTAATATGGAACTGAAAAACAGATTAGCTGAAAACCCATCAAGAAGTGGAAAAGCAGAGTTTGTTAAAAATTTTGAGAGCAGGCTAGCAAATGTCCCTACTAGAAACCTGCTCTGTTTTGGGGGCACTATTGCTTTTCAATGCACCAGGACCATGCTGACAAACTGTGCCACAAAATCCCGTGCCATGGCTCCCTTGCTGCCCAGAGTCCTTAGTGATACTGGAATTGCAGAAACTCTGTTCTCCCAGTATATGGTTTTTCTGACAGCCCTCCTTGAACCATTTTGCCTCTCAAGAGTTAATTCTTCACCAAACTCAGTGCTGCATTTCAAACAGCAAATGGACCAATGTCAAAAGGCTCTTTTTAAAAGGCTCATAAAGGCTTCTTGAGCATTAAACAGCTTTTATGAATATTTTCATTTTAATGTGAATGAGAAGTAAGTGGATTTATTGCCTCTTAAAATACAGACACAGGATTATAAAAATTAAGTGGCACCGAGTTTGGCTGTTTACCTTTGGACTTTCCTGCTCTTTGGGACAGGACTGAAAGACTATAATAGGGCCTATTTATTGAAAGTATTGGCATAGCAATCTAAAATCTGGGCACTGAAATGAAGCCTCATCATGACTTTTCACTTTTTTGGGTGGAAAGAGTCTGTGCTAAGTAGTTTGTCTCAGAGTAAGACTCTAGCTTGCATGTCTTTCCTGAAACTTTAGAAGGAATGCTTTTAAAACAAGGAGATTAAATAAGTCATAGATATGTAAATTAAATACTTGCTAAAAAATTAAGTTATAAGACAACCTTGAAATGTACCACAAAGAAGAGGAAAGAACTTGGGACTCTATGCATAAGAAATGTCAGGTCATCTTCCAAGACGGAAGTTCTAAATGGAACAATCTAAAACGTTAGCTAATCCCTGGTGGCTAATATTTAGCTCTGGGATTTCTTTCTCACATTTGGTCATGAACATGTCTGGTGTACTATTAACAGTGTAGCATATCAACTATGAAAACTGTTCAGCCATTCTGTTGGATAGCTCCCTTAGCCTGACTGCAGGCTTCTATGTCTTTCACAGAATGCTTTTGGTCTAGTAAAAGTGCCAGCCCACAAAACATTGACGTCTGACTTCCTTACTTTACCTATACCACCTGGGCACACAGGTTGTAACATCCTGTTTGAAAGGCCTTTACCTCCCAGCTATGTGAAGACTCGTGATGCATGGAGACATGGGGATAAAGAGAGAACAGCAGAAAGAAAGATTAAGAAAGCAAGTTCCTGGGGCCCTAGAAAAACATAGAAGTGGAATCAAGATCTGCTTCAGATCGGCTCTATTCTGCCCTTGGATAATTGCTGACAGCAGCATTAAACAGTTTTATACAATCTTTTTAGGAAGGCAAGATCTCCTTCTGAAGACACTAATCCCTGCTTCTTGTTGTGCAAGTGAAGTCAGTGAAAAAGCAAGGAGAGTAGTAAGCTGAGCTAGAGCTCTTATGTTTCTTGTATACAAAAAGAAATGGGGGGCAGGGGGTGCGGCTCAGGTGGTAGAGTGCCTACCTAGCAAGTGGAAGGTCTTGAGTTCAAACCCCTGTACTGCCGAGAGAAAGAGAGGGAGGGAGGGAGGGAGGGAGGGAGGGAGGGAGAGAGAGGGAGAGAGAGAGAGAGAGAATGAGAATGCATGATGTTTGAGATGTTTGAGATGATTACTATCGCACCACCATCAGTTAGACCTAGATGAAAAACTCTGGAGAAAAATGAGGCAGCCCTGGCCCCTGGGCCAGACACTGGCAACCTGGGATCTGCGTTCTGCAATGCTCAGGCTGCCTCTCTCATGAGGCTTCCTTTCTCTACCTGCATCCTCCTGTTTACTGTTCCACAGGATTTTGTGCAGAAGCAAACACTCTTGGAGACTCAAGTGTGCTGAGGCACAAATCTACCCAGCACCTCATCTGTTATTTGACTCTTGCCATGCAGCTGCCTTCTTTTTGCTCCCTCTCTCTCTGGAATCCTTACTTTGTCATTCTATGACCTTTAGGAAAAGAGTCACGTGGTAAATGGTTCTTCCAGTTTGATGCAGGGAAAATGTTTGCATCATCAAAAAAAAAAAAGTATAATTTCTTTTTTAGATGATGAGAATGAAAGATCAGTTTGTTTCCTTTTTCCTTGGCTATTAGAAATCTTGAAGAAAAATTCTGCTCAATTAAAAGTCACTCCCCCAGCATGAGCTTCCTGTCTACCTCACCAATGACAGTTCTTATTTATAGATTAATGTTTCTACTGAATTTGTATCTTTAATTCTAACTTCCCTCAGCATTTGTATACACAGTAAGATGAAATAAAAGAGTCTTACCATGCTTCTAAAATGTGTTCCTTTCTCCACTCTTGGAAGTATTCCTATTTTCATATTGACTAAAAGGAAAATGCTTCCTCATTTTTTCCACTGAAAATCAACTCTGACACAGTGTGTTGTACATGTTTGATCAAATTCATGAAAATGAGAGTGCTTGTAGAAGAATGAAAAGGTCTGGGCAAAATACAGATGTAAATGACAGTGCACTGAAACGCTACCTACAAAGTCCTGAAAATTAGTAATGCCTCCAAGAGCACTTTCAGGATGGATTGCTGGGAAGATGACTTGGGCACTGAGTCAGTCACCAAATGAATAAATGATTCATGTGGAGGCTGTGTAAGTGCTTGTAAAGCAATCTGAGAAAAAAATGTCCAGTGGTACCCCTTTAATTTTTCTAAGAGGTGGTTATTTTGGAGGTAGGAGAATAATCTTTATAGGTTTTAACAGTAGAATTTGCAGGCCAAACTAAAATCTGAACAGTTAAATTGTTTTAAATCCCTATGAAAAACTAGAACTTGATCATCAAAATCTCATCCTTAATATTCTAGCAACTTACCCTTGGTCACCATTACTCAATATTTTGCAGATTTAAATAGTTACAATGGGCTATTTGGAACCAACTGAATTGAGTCTAAAAGATTCAGCCCACTGGCTCTGGTGGTTGGCTGATTAGTTTTTTTAAAGCCAGCTTCCAACCTGGAAAACCTCATAAAGGTTTCTGCTAATTCCCCTGACAAAGCTCATGAAAACAACTGAAGCCACACAAAGTCAGCTCTGGGACAAAATCTGAAGCCTAATATGCAGTTAATGTGACTCAAATACCAGCTGTGAGCTCAGGCCTTGTTCAATAGTGGACTTAATGTTGGGGGCAGAGCTGGAATTTCTCATCCTCTTGGCTCACTAGTAGAGACAAAAAGTAAATGACTGTGAGGAATAAAGATGATTTCTCTGATTAGTTACTGATATGTAATTACTCTTAAAACTACTAATTATCATGCTGACGTTGTGCTAGCCACAGTGCTAAGCACTTCTCATGTAATAACTTACTTAATCTTAAGAGTAATCCTAGGAAGCAGTGCTTTTATTATTCTCATGCTACAGATGAAGAAACAGAGACACAGAAAGGCTGAGTAATTTGCCTAAGGACAGCAGAGACTAAAGGACAGAGCTGGGATTGAAACCTAGGTGCCTATATATGATGTCATATTGTGGCCTAAACCCAAGCATCCTACACAGGGTTGTCACACAATAACCAAATCATGTCTATAACAAATGCCTGATTACCTGCAAGTAAATAAAAATACACATACCATAAATAAAAAGATGTACGAGTTCTTGTTAGGTGTCCTTAAACACCCTTTATCCATCCAATACTTCTCACTCACATTAAAAATAAACATTTTAATAATAATTTTTAAAAGATGATTTCATGTTCAAAAGGGACTAAAAGGAAGAAGTTTTAGGGATGAAGAACTGTGGAGAATTGAAACCAGCTTACTACTGCTATCTGCTTCTGCCGTCACCTTTCTGCGACGCAAAATCCTTTCTAACTCAGTTTCACTGTTTTCAGAGTCAAGGGATTTTAAGCTTCTTGAACTAGTGGATTTGTTAAGTGTCCCCTAAAGTGAAAACAAAACAAAAACAAAAAGGTTAATATAATATGCAAAAGAATATAAAAATCAAACCAACAAAACATTACCAGAATTTGAACAGAATTAGGAGACAAATTTGCCATGTATTTATACATATATATAAATGTGTACACCCTCAACAACACAGTGTTGGATCCATGAAGAAGACCCTATGATGATGTCAACACTAGCATATCAGAAGAGTGGTGCAAGAATAGCCCTGATGAGCCGACTTTGTGAACCTCAGCAGTCCTCCCCAATGCTGAAGATTCTGACGTGTCTCGTCCCATGGAGAAGAGAATGGATACATTAAACTCACCTTAGAAGGATATCTTGTTATGACAGCCATGAGCTATTGAGCCCAAATCCTTGTAGCACTGAAAAATGTGTGGTTAATTCTTCAGAGAGAAAGAGAGAGAGAGAGAGAGAGAGAGAGAGACTGTGACCCTGGCTGCATGATTGGTGATGACTGTGGTATGGCAGCAAAGGGGCCTATAATGATCTCCAGTGGCCTATCCAAAGAAGGGCCACACAAGTACAACAGATCTCAGTGTGGAAGAACAAGGTTATAATCACGCAGGGAAGGAGCTGATCCCATATTCCTAACCGAGGAGACAGGAAGTGGATTACTCAGTGCCCAGAAAACACTGAAGGAAGCAAGAGGCCATCAAGCTGTGTTCCTGCTCAAATTGACATTGTCTTCCAGACCCATGTGGTGGTTCCCTGCCCTGGCCTCTGGCAGCATGTGACAGAGGGAGATCTCCATTTCTAGTCAAGTGTTTGCAAAGAACACAGGTGACCTTCCTCTCCTCAATTAGATGTAAGGATCTAGCACTTTAGCATCATAAGTCTTTCCTAAGAAATGCTCACTATTTCTTTTTGAAATGCTCCTCCCCAGCTATGCCACAGGTTTGGAGCCAGAAGAATCATACTCTTCTGGTCACAGGATATAAGAACCTCAGGTCAAATATAACTTGTCAGACTTCATAGCAGGGTCAGAAGGTGGCTTTTGTCCAGCAAGCCTAATAAGTACGGCTGCATACCCACTGATATCACTACAGGTCTGCCTTACTCCTGCTCACTGCTCTCTGCCAGCTTCAAGAAGGACTCCATAATCCTACTGGCTAGAACTGGTAACTCATGTTTTTCTTTGGCCTTTAAAACAAAAAAGTTCCTTGTAAAATCAGATGCTTGCAATTCTCACATGAGACAGGTTATTTTGTTAGAAAAGGAAGTTTTTCTCCCCCCACCTGCTTAAAGGGGGTAAAATTGACCAAGACTAATATTATTTTGCTGTCATCTGCTTAACCAACTCCTATGCAAAATATTTAGATAAAACTCATATTTTAATCAGGTACAGGATGCTTTTTCCCCCAGGAAGTACCTCTTTTTATTTTTCATTTATTATAAAAATTCACAAAATATACTAAAAGGAAAATTACATCATGTGTAATACTATAATACCTTATTATATAATTTAAACTGAGAGATTTGTTTTATTTAATGTTGCAGGTCTGAGTCTGCTCATTGAAGAGAGATACAATGATTATCACCAACTAAGAAAACAGAATTATAGCCACTTTAGATATACTTGACAAGAATGTATTAGAACAACTATCCCCCTATCATTTGAATTTATAATTGGAAAAACTTACCACTTACATTATTTGTAAATAGATATTTGAAAGTAGTTATCACTATTAAAATAACATAAAACTATCACATTGTTTGCATCTCAAGGCCACTGATTTTTTTTTTCCAAAGGCTGGAGTTAATCCAAGTTGAAAAAGTAGAATATCCTCTATTGATGAATTTATTTTTCACAATGTCCTCTAGTTTTCCATTTGGATAATAAATAATTATTTCCCAGAATTCCTGACTGTGGTGAACTACCTCTTGTCACATGGCATAAGAAGGAATCCCTCTTCCAAGTTCTAATACCTGAATCCCAAACTTCTTTCTCCACTTACACACACATGGTTGATTCAGCTAATAGGTGAGTAACTTGGATTACATAGGAGGAGGACAGAAAGATTTCTGTGTCACTCTTAACTGGAATGATGAAGAGCCTGGCTAATAAAGAACTTAAGATTATGTTAGAATCATAGAACAAGGGAATCAGAAACTGACTCAGAAGCCATGGGGTACATGCAATGTGTTCACTTTACAAAATGAATTCAAACTCTGTGAGGCCCACAGGACTTGGGCCAGATTAGATGGAATCCCCAAACTACTCCTCTTTCTACTTCAAACCACCATGATCACTCAGCATAGTATTCATGCTCCTCAAATGTTCACCATACTAATTAATCTAATTGTCAGGTAGCAAAATTAACTATTTAGCAATTCCTATATACTTTGAGAAACAAGCTGTCTGAAAAAGATCTATAAAGAATTTGTGCAAAGCTGCTTTTATATCTTTGATTTAGAGCCAATTGAACTTGAGAAGAAATTTTTAGATTAATTATTCTTTGGAAATTACCATTGTCACTTAGGGTGGCTTTTAAATGACTGGGGTAACTCAAGAAGTTTCATTTCCTAAACTTCAAAAGCTCTGTGTGACTATGACAAATGAACTATATATAGAATCTATGTATATCTATCTATCTATCTAATCTACAAAATACATAGCTTTAAAATTAAGTGTAAGAAGGTTGAAAAATTCGCTTGAAAACTAACTCAAAAAGTAGAGCAGGGTTTTCCAACTCCTCCAAACCAGAGATTTGTTTCTATGTATTCTCTAACTCTCAGCAGAAGGGAAAATCTCTAAGTCCTATATCTTGGGTCACATTCCTTTTCAGCAAAAAAGGATCCCACACTGAGCTGCTTCCTGGTTTCTGTCTTACAGGAGAACTAAACCTGTGGTTCTCTGGGTTTCATGGTAGTGGCGCTTGCTCTCCACCTTGGTATAGAATTGCAGGTCTTCATGGTTTTTCCTATTTGCTTCTTCCATGCCATGACTGTGAGGGTGGCACCAAGTGCTTTACTGGGAGAAGAATGAACTCCCGCAAGAAGCACTAAGCATCAGGCTAAGCTAAAGCCTTGATTTTTCCTCTTACAATGAATATGAGCTGGGCTCTGGTGACTCATGCCTGTAATCCTAGCTACTTGAGAACTTGCAATCAGGATTGCGGTTCAAGGCCTGCCTAGGCAAATAGTTCATGAGACCCCCATCTCCAAAATAACCTGAGCAAAATGGACTGGAGGTGTGGATCAAGTGGTAGAATGCCTACTTTGCGAGCCCTCAGTTCACACCGTAGTCCCACCAAAAACTGGGTGGGTGACTGGCAGTTATAACAGGTATACGTCAAAGAAGACTACTGGGGAGATTTGCCTTTTGGCAAAAAAGAGTAAGGGAGAGGATCATGAGTTCTACTTTTCATAAAAGTTTAATGCAAAGAAGTCACACTGCCAGAATAATAACTACTAGGGATACATTAATGCAGATAAGGCAGAGAGATCTAATAACAGATCCAGGGCAAGAAGGATGTGGGCAATTTGCAAAAAAAGAAAAGTATCTTAAAATTTCTTATAATTAGTAAATAATTTCACAAATTTCTCTCTTTGAAGTGGCACAAAATTAATAGTAAGTATGATATTCAAGAGTAGTATTAGAGCTGGTGTGTAGCTCAGTGGCAGAGCACTTGCCTAGCATGTCTGAGGCCCTGGGTTTTACACACAGACAAAGACACAAACACACAGGCACACAGAGTAATACTGACTTCAGGAAACCTGCTCTCATCCAGCATTACCAGGTATTAGAGTGTCTTGTGTAATCAAGTATCATCCTATGTATCTCCTATAGATGTCTGATTTTGTAAATAAACCAAATTTTTAAAAAGTCAAGCTCAGTACCATTTACTCCTTTGCTAACGATCAGCGCTGTTTCAGGGACCTCACTGTGCCCAGGGAGACACCTACATCAACATTAGTTAGCATGACAATGCAGAGACAAGAAAGGGGGCTGTCATGGGAGTGCTCCTTAACTGAACACTCCATAATAAAATTTTGTCATCAAAGAATCCATTAGATAATAACCACATTCTTTTCAACAATTTTAATCCTCAATTCTGTAGGTAGACCACCACTGTCAGCCCATGATATACCTCTCTTCAGCGCTAATCCCGCTCACTAAAACTAAAGCAAACTAATTAAGCCATTCTGAATTAAGTCTACTGTTTAAAGACATGCTTGATGAAAATAATTTTGTTTACCATCATTATGTGGATGTCTCCATGCAATGCATAATTAGCACAGTAACAACAAATAGGGGAGGATTGAGTCCTCTACCTCCGCCCCTGTGTTTATTGACTTACTGTGCATAATAACTGGGCTTGGACTGGAACACGGACTGAAAATAGAGCTCTGTGTCTGAAGCACTTCCTATGTGAGGCGTTTGTTCTGACAGCGACTGCTGGAGAGGGAAGACCCTATTTACTCCACTGGCCGACGCTCCCACTTTGGAAAAGAGAAGGACTAGAGAGAGCACTATGCAGGTTCTCCAGCAGATATGAGTTACCTTTAGAAAATGAAACTAGTAACATAAAGAAAAGGACTCTCATGTTATCCTCGAATTTCTCATCAAAGAATTGTTTCAACCGTGAGAAATGGCAGACCCTGAGACAACATACTTGCGTGGGATCTTCAGACTTATATGTTGGTGTCAAGAATTCCACTTTTATATCGCAAAGGAAAGCCCTATTGGTCTATTGTAGTTCTGTCAGTTCAAACACAGGGACTGATCTTCACTTATGGTCAGACACTTGACCTTCAAGGCTGCAAAGCCAGGATTGAATGAAAGTGTACCCCCTCTTGCAGACGAGAAATAGCAAAGTGTTATTTGATACATTATTATCACATATGCTGGAGAAATCCGTAAGTATAATCAAATAAACTGTCAAAAGAAGTGACATTAATTGTAAATAGAAATAAAGCATACCAAAACCAATTATTTGGGAGAAAACAGATTATATAAATTACTCTCATTTCCCCATCAGCTAAACAATAAACCAATACCCAATCTTACCAGTATTCCTTTTAGTTCATTCACTGCACTTTCAGAGCCTTTTGAAGATTCTGGCTAAAATTTTAAAAAAGAAAAGAAAAATTACTGAGTAATTCAGTTTTAAAATACTGAAGATTTTTATATGGCAAGTTGTTGGTAGCTTATATTGGTGATAGGCATGACTATATGCTTTAAAATTATGTCTATGCTTAAGGTTTGGAAAAAAATATTAGTCATGTTAGTTTCTCAAGTGACAGTTGAACAGAAAATCCAGTTATATCCATAGCAAAAGATACATGCAACCTTCTTCAAATACCATTTTGTTACTTCATGGTTATCTTCATAGATAGAAAAGATTTAGTGAACATCAGATTTTAAAGTTGATTCAGAATTATTCAGAATCTTTCATAATCAACTGTTCTCCATTGGGATGGCTGGACAGCTGCCAGCAAGTGAGGAAGAGTGAGAAGCAAGCACGGGACCAAAACCTCTCTCAGCTCCATTTGCTCCAGGCGAGGCTTACAGGAGACCCCATGTCTTGTCTCATGAATTTTACAACGAGACCAAGTCAGAGACACCAGGCTGAAGAACAGGAGAACATTACCTTCCCCCACTGCCAGAGCACACAGGGGCCTCAGGGAATACAGCCCAATCACTTCATCTCATGGAGGAAAGTCAAGCATGAGGAAGGGATGATTTGAGGCTGGTGTCTTATTTCCAAGTTCAGTTCTCTTTTGGCCACAATAAAAATAAAATAATTTCAAATAAAATTCTGGGTAATTTTTGTCTGCCACAATATCTAAGACTCTCTGGAGGACAAAGCAAGACCCGGGCCCTCATGAAAAAGCAGCTCAGGAAAGATTTCTCATCTTCCCTCTACCACTTTCACAAAGCAGAGATGAAAAGAAAATTTGTAAGGCATAGTGACAGGAACCTGGAAGCCTCTCTGTGCAGGGAAGAGGTCAAGGCTAGATTCTATCATCATCCAGAAACGGGAAGTGACCAATAGTAAGCCACAATCCTTTCCTCTCAAGAACTAATAAAAAAATACAATCCAATTTCAAATTTTAAAAAGTGAAGATAGAGGAAAAATTAGGCTAAAGCATTCAACTTTCATAGTCCAGGTTTTCTGTAAAATTCTCATTCCTGTCAAGTTAGTCATAAGCTCTAAGACACTAATGTCAACCACATCAGCTCCACCCACAATATCAAGGAATTTCGAAAACATGTCATTAAATTAGTATTCTCAAGGCAGGCTTGACTTCTGTGCAAATACTGTTCAGGTGACAATTGTGACTTTTGAGCAAAATGCCCTGATTACAGGCACACTTACAAGTGTTACCATGTCCCTCACAATGCCCTGACCATAGCAGACTTTGGAAGCCTGGACTAGATCCTCTCACACGGTGGCATTTTAGGGCAGCCTGGATGGTCCCGGGGAAGAGCTCTGTACTTGAACATGCAGTGATGTTTGTTGTGGAGGTTACTGACCGGTCGCTACATCAATCCAGTTTAATGATTACCAGTGAAAAAAACCAGTTATCGACTGATCCTTGTTGAGTTGTTATCTGGATTTTGAACTGACATTAAATAATGTATAACTGCTAGAAAGAGTCATGGGAAGAAAGAAAGAGCACAGAGTGATATTCTAAAAATGAAAGTACCTATAGAACACTGATTGCTTATGATTTAAGATGTTCTCAACATTTTTCTCTCTAATTTTGTTTCTTTATGACACTGCATTTTTCTCTAGCATTAGTTTGGATTTGCTTATTCTTTCCATAACAGTTGTGACATGAAAGCCATAAAAATGTTTTATTTTCAAGGTGGCACTCAGACCTGCATTTTGAAGTGTTTTCACCCTTCATTCCTTTTGATCCTGGCAACAACTCCATGAGTCAGATAGGGCAGATGCTGTCCCTAGCTGTATAGGGAAAAGTTTGGGGAGGCTGACAATAACGCCAGAGCCCTCAACCCCTACAACAGGGCTTATTACTCACTCACCAGACACCCGCCTTCAATCCAATGGCAGGATCATTCTTGTAGCTTCCCTTCTGGTCATACATCCTGTCCTCTCCTTAGAACACTGCACAGATTGCTGGCACAGACCAAATTACTCTACGTGGTTGGCTGAAAAGTTTCTCCCTCTAGATGTAAGCCTGCTCTGAGCATTTGTTCCCTCTTTCCAACTCTTTGGCCAATGCTACAGCCACTCCCACCCTTGCCTGACTAACTTGTCTGCCTGTGACAATGTGACAGCTTTAAAAGCACATCAGAATTTCTACAAAAACAAATCATGACCCTGGGAGACATTCAAGAAGTTGAAGAGGGACATCCTTGAAAGGAGGAAAGAATCAAGTCATAAAGTCTGGAGAAAAAAGAAGGAAAAGAAGAAAGAAAACTAGCTTGTTCAAACCTGATTAGAGTGAGCAAAGAAAGAACATTTCTCAAGAGAAATGTCAAATAAAAAAATGTCAGAAATTACCACGGGACCTATTTGAATGTGATGGATCCAAACAGGCAGGGGAGAGAAAGTGGAAGAGGCTCCCAGGGCCTCCACAGGTTCTGGAGCGCTCATTGGGTCCAGTTTAGGAGACGGTTGTTAGAATACATAAAACCAGACAGTTCTATATTGTCTTCGTCTGTTCTACCATTACTATGAGATTTCCCCCACCAAAATTGAAGCCATGAAGAGACGAGGATTTTCTATGTTGCTTCCTGCCTTTCCCCCAGTGCTTACAGCGGTACTTGGCACAGACTAGATATTCAACAGAATCACACAAAGCACCAGGAACCAGAAAAGAAAGGGAATAACTACTGTTCATTGTTGGATATAGCAGTTCACACCAATGTTCCTCTGAAGGAGATTATAGCACTCTGCAATAACATGGTATACTTTCTTCTTCTGACTTGGGTTCACCCTGGGTCAAACAGCGCCCTCCTAAAACATGCTCATATGGCAGGGGAAGCTTTTATGACACATTAGCCTTGTCCTAAGTCTTGACATTCAGTCTTGATGGAGCTTTCATCAAATTTCAAATTTTTCCATTTAAAAAGGAAATATCAAGGGGAAGAAAAAGCATGGAGTCACTACCTACCTTTGTCTTCGGTCTGGCTGTCTGATTAACTGGTCTAAGATGAACTCCCTTTTTAATTCTATCCATCATCTCTTCGACTGCTTGCCTCTTCAGATCTGTGACTTCCTCAGCTGTTCAAAGAACACACGCACACATAAACCATCTTAGGTTACAGGAAAACAGCTAATTCTTATTTTGGGGGCCTTAGAGAGATTATACTATGTAATTAATCACAGTCATCTTTCAGACAGTTCCGGAACACCAATAATATACCAGGTGGCAACACATTTTAAACAATTTATTTTTAAAAATAAAAGAGCTGATCAGAAAAATAATAATTATAACAATTAAGGTCAAACTGTAGCAGGGAAGCCAGTATGGTTTCACCTAAGTTTAACAAAATTGATTTGTTCATTCACTAACAAAAGAATAAACTTAGGTAAGTTAGGTCTTTAAAATGCGACTTTGTACCTTTCCCAATAATCATTAATCTTTACCTCAAAATGGCTATATAAATTACAGTATATCCTATGTCAAAGAAAGCAGCCCAAAGCCTATTTGAAAAAAGTGACCAAAGACATGTTTTCCTTACTAAAAGAAATTTATATTCAAAAGATGAACAAATAGGTAAAACCTACTTTTTAAACTTCCATCTTTTGTTTAGGAATCACATAGAAATGAAACATTTCAACAAACCCTTTTCAAAGGGTTTAAACATTGCCCATGTTAAAAGAAAATACATATCTATCAATAATTGAAATTAAGCAATTAAATATGATTAAAAATTTAAACTATCAGGAGTGGGGATATAGCTCTGTGGTAGAGAGCCTGCCTAGAATGCTGGGTTTGATCCTCAGCACCACCACATAGATAGATGGATAGATAGATGGATGGATGGACAGATAAATATAGATAGAGAGATATAGATAGATAGATGTAATGTCTAACCTTTGCATTATTTTGTGGCCCAAATAAATAGACAAATATGGCTGCCAAGAGGTCTATCATTTAAACAAATGCAACTGAGGTACAGTTAGACCTGTTGATCAGAATAGTTAAATTTGTCTTTTTTTGCTGAATAGCTTGACCAAAAGCACAGAACCATTTTAGAACACTTACTGCCAGTAATACAGTTCTGGAACTTGTGTTTATCTCTATTTAACCCACTACAGCCATTATACTTTAGCATCTCATAAAGACCTTCCAACTAGCATCTTCAGTAGATTTCACATTGCCTGGTACGTGGTGAACACTGAACAAGCATCTACTGGCTGACTGACTCCTGAAGTTTGGGCTTTTGATGGCTGTAAGATTTTCACTATTTGAGTAGAAATGACTAGCTTCTACATAGAGGAGACCACAACTCTATCTCCAAACTAATTAGCACTAGTGTTAGGTTTTGTACTAAAGAGGCCTAACGCATGGCTTCCTTTCCTGAAAAGACTTCAAGCTGACCTTGGATAGCCATTCCTCTTATCAAGTGCTTAAGGGAGCAATAAGAAAGTCCAGAAGCTTCCTTCCTCACCTCTTTAGCACCATAATAATGGGGCCACTACTGCATTCACCATGTAGCCTAGGTCTTCTGATATAATACTGACTTCAAATAGTATTCTATCATCCTCGGAAGCTGATGAAAAGCTGAGAATTCAAAATTCTCAATATCCAAATGACATGTTTCAGATCCAGAAGTCAAAAAAGTATCTTTTGCCAGGCAACATGGGAAACACGGTCAACCAAAGTTAGAATTCACCCGCCAGTAAATGAAAGATAACAAAACCATGGGATGATCACCAAGTGCCCTCGAGTAGCATTTGCTTGGGCAGCTTTTTTTGATGGCTCACACATATCAACAGAGGGACAAATTCATTCATTCTTTCACTTCCCAATAGCTGACTATTGATTGTACATTATACAATTGATTCTGATATACAAAATCAGGGGAGATAAAACCCGGATCTGCCATTCAAGCACCTGGTTTGGGGATGAGATTTATTCCTGGGAATTAACGAAATAGTTTCAAAACACAGTTGGTTTTTTGTTTTTTGTTTTTTTCCCAGAAAGACTGCCATTTTGAGTGAGATCAGGAAGAGCTATGTGGCAATGGGAACACCGCCTACAAGCAGATCAGCACTTTGCAAGGAATGGTGGAAACCCAATTAAATGCACCATACAAAAACTAATTAAGGCAGACAGATGGAGAATTATGGTCAACACCATTCAAATCTGCTACAGCATCTAACATAGCAGGAATTTAAAGTAGTTTCTTATATTTGCTTGCCAGAATCATAGTGATAATTCAGAGAACTGCCACTATCTGTATTGTGTACAGATTATAAACCAGCCTTTAAATTCTCAGTCTTTTTCAAATGCAAAGACTGAACTGGTCGAAGGAAAAGAAATCACTCTTATCAGATTCCCTACTTAGCTGCATTACAAGAGCAACACTTAGTGGCACAATATCTCTCTCTCTCTTTCTCTCTGTCTCTGTCTCTCTCTCTCTCTCACCGACCCTGTTTTTGAAATAGCAAAAGGCAACCTATATGAACTTTTAAACTATTAAGTAGTTCTAATAAATCAGCAAGAGTAACCTACAGAGAGCTCATGGTATGTTTTGTAATTCTTTCTGCAATCGCGCAGTTGGTAATTGTCTCACAAAAGCATGTAATCAGGGGTACAATGGAAATATGCAGGATACTGGAGATTAAAGAAAAGGGACAAATGAAGACAACAGGTCTAACGTTATCGAACTGCCACAGGAAAATAAAATCAAATGTGCTTTGAGTTAGTGCTCCAAGGTCAGTCTTGGATCAAAAAGCTACATGTAATTAATTGGGGCTTAAATTTTAAGACCCACTTGAACAATAAGTTAGTTCCTCAATAGAAAAAAAGAAGAAATACCCACAGAGGAAACCATCACCTCGTTACTCAATAAAATCTTGTGTTGTTACCTAGGAGAAGCTAAAATAAATTTCTAAATTCCTCAAGATTACTTTTCTCTTTTGCTAACGTCTTTAAAAAGGCATCTAGAAAAATACACTGCATAGCATCATGAGGTACAAAGTTTAATACATTCTTTTAAATAAGTTTGAATTTGAGTGAAGATCATACAGTTATGGAAATTTCTTTAACTACTGTACTAGGAAACCTGCTGAATGAGATTCTTGACCCTACCAAAGGGTGGTCATTCTATTACAAATGTTTTGATCCTACTGGTCCTACAGGAAAAATTTGTCATGTCATGAGACCCATGAATTTTCACAATTTTCCTGTCTCACCCTTTTGAAATAGGAACTACCATAGTCTTCCCTTATTTACAGGGGATATGTTGGTTCCATGACCCCAGTGGGTGCCTGAAACCTTGGATAGTACTGAACCATACGTGTACAATATTGTTTCTATACTTACATACTTATGATAAAGTTTAATTTATAAGTTAGGCTCAGGAAAAGCTTAACAACGATAACTCATAATAAAACAACTATTATAACAATATATTGCAATAAAAATTACGTGAATGTGGTCTTCTCTTTCAACAGCCACAGGGTAGGTAGCATATACTGTGTGGATGTGCTGGGAATAAATAATTTACATCCTATGTGCCAGAGCACGACAGTGCAAGATTTCACTGTGCTACACAGAACAACAATTTGAAACTTAGAAATTGTTTATTTCTGGAATTTTCTATTAATATTTTCAACCATGGTTGATTGGCGGTAACTGAAACCAGACAGTGAAACTGTGGAAAGGGGACACTGCCCTACTATTATCCTTGTTTTACAAATTAATAAACTGAGTGAGTGAGACACAGTTTAAAAAATTCAACAAATTAATGGCTGAAATTCATGATAAACAGCAGGCGTGCCTTGGAAATATCAGAACTGTCTGCTAAATGCACTCTTCTCTTGTCAAAATCAGTTATTAACTTCAAAGTTTATGACTTCCTATACTCAGATTTTAAAACTACATCTAAAATATTCCAGACCTCCCTTAGAAACAGGCTTTCAATGCATCATAACCTAGGAATTCCCCACTCATAAGCTCTGAAAACCTATATGAAAAGCCATAATAAGGTGCTAACTCAAGAAAGAAAAGACAGTGATAGTGAGACAGTCTCTACGTTAAAGTATAAATCCCAGAGTATTGCAGACAATCCCAGTGTTTGACGCTCTACATTCATTCATCCTGTATTTGATCACTGTGTGAACTATTAACAAGATACTCTAAATAACTGCCTGGCCAGAAGGACAGAGAATGTCATTTGAGCTATGGTACATATCATCTCAGGCTGTATGATTTTAGAATCTTTTCAGTGTCAAATCTCATGAGCAACTTCTATGTCAGTAACTTTACTTAAGAGTCCCAAAATAACAATCTACTAGCCCAAGGATGAGGAAGAAAATACTACCACAATTCATGAATTGTTAATAAAACCTTATTTCCATAAGGAAAACAGTACGGCCCCTAACAATGTCATTAACAAGTTCTAGAGGGGGATTCCAAGATGGCGGCTAGAGGTAGGAAGCAGAAAGCGAGCCTCCTATAGTGAAATCTTGGAGAGACGCTGGAGACACACTTTGCAGGCATAATCACCGAGAAAAGGCATAACTTTGACCCCTCCACATCTCCAGCCGGCGCAGAGAATCTCCACTTCACGTTAAACGGAGAACCGAGGAGGCCCCCGGGCCGCCAGTGGCCGGCGCCCATGCGGCTTGGGAAGACGCGGACCAGGTGAGCTTCGCGGTACCGCGGTTCCCCCACAGACAAGCCTGGGCCAGAGCAGCATAGCCCCCTGGACAGACTGACCTCCACCCGGGAAAAAAAGAAACTGAGTACTAAGCAATAAGAACAGTTAAGACACGCTGGAAAGAGGGTGGGGCGCCCTGAGCGCTGAAGATTGGGGGAAGGGAATCCTTCCCGGGACTGTAAATAAACGAGCTGGGCGGCCGGAGAGGCTCTGGCGGGAGCGGGGCGCGCCAGCAACCAGGAGCGGGACGCTTGTGAGAGGGGGGAAGACCCACTTCCCACGTGAACTGTAAATAAACACGCAGGCCTGACAACGCGGGGCAGTGTCACCTTTCCCAGTGCTTGGAAAGGGTAAAAGC